GGGTTAGTCTCCCTGTTTGCTGAATCCCATGTCTTCTTTTGTCTTGGTTTAGCCCTTTATTTTGCTGGGATACAACCTTCGGTATCTGTGGGTAGAAAGTAAAATTTTTGAGACCTTTAAGATCTGAAAATGTTTTTATTTTACTCTTAACTTGTTAGATAGTTTGGCTAGGTATAAAAGTCTAATTTGCAAATAAATTTTCCTCCTAATTTTGAAGGTATTGTTCCACAGAATTCTAGAATCCAGTAATGCTATTGCAAGGTCTGAAACCATTATTTTTCTAACTTTTTCTATTTTGTATGTTAACGTTTTTTCTCTTTGGAAATTTTTAGAATCTTTTGTTTGTTCATAATGTTCTGAAATTTCACAGTTATGTTCCATGGTGTGGGTATATTTCTTATGTATTGTACTCTACTCCTAATGAAATTTCAAGTTGGAGTCTCGTGTTCTAGAAAGTTTCCCTCAGTTCTGGAAAGTTTTTCTTTTATTATTTCTCTGATAACTCCTTCCCCACTATTTTACACGACCTCTTTTTCTGTAATACCTTTTATTGGAATGTTGAATCTCTTGGGCTGATTCTCTGATTTTCTTCCCTTTTTTTCTTACCATTTTTGAAATCTTTCTGGGAGATTTTCTCTACTTTATCCTCAAGCCTTTCTCCTACATTTTTATTCCAATTTAATTATTTGTTTAAATGTTTATATATTTTCTGATTGTTCCCTTTTTTAATAGCATCATGTTCTTGTTTCATAGATGCAAATTCTTCTCTTATCTCTCTGAGAATATTAATTGTTATCATTTTGAAGAAATGTCCCTCTTTCTTCCAGATTCTTTTTCTTTTTGTTGTTTATTTGCTTTTTTGTTAGAGACTTTCCTTAGCTGTCTGATGAACTTTTAGCTTTCTATTCATATTAAAGAGAGATACATTAAAACGTTGTTAGAAACTTGCTGTACATAGTTAGGCTTATTGATTAGTGGCCTTCATGGTAGGATAACAAGCTTGATTTTTAGTATGATACTCACAAATGCCACTCTTGTGGCATTTCTCTTAGGCCATTTCATTTTTCCAGAGAAGAATTCAGTGGTCTCCTGCTTGCAGTATAAGCCTGGCTTGAGACATCCTGAAATAGGAACAGGAAAAAGAAGTAAGCCTCAACCTCTCCCATACCTCCCCTGTCCCAGACTTCTTGGTCGCCTTTTCCTCTCCAGAGAATTAACCTCCAGTCTGCTGCCAGAAAGAGCAAGATGAGAGGAAGCCTTAATAAGAGGGTTGCTTGGCTGCCTGACAGGAGATATAGCTCAGTGGGAGGTGCAAGGGAAGCTAATCTTTCTAAATATAAACTTTTAACCAATCTCTTTCTTTTAAACCTTTTACTCTCTGTAGTACCTTATACCTCCAACTACTGAACCTTTTTGGAGCCCAACAGGTCAAACTCACTAATTATTAGCTTTCTCCTCTCCAGAAACCCAGGTGCTAGCTTTCTCTCTCTGCTAAATCACTTTCATACAATTTCAATTACTTTCTATTGCCCAAGAAGTTGTTGAAATCTCTCTACTACTGTTATCCTCTCTCCTTGTTTCTTGGTCCTTACAGATTTATACCTTTTCAATTTCCTTTATTTTCAATATAGTGGCATTTTGAGGTTGATTTGCCATGTTTAACCAGAATAATCATTATTACAGAATATAATTTTTGACACTTTAAGGAATTGAGAATATGCCCCAATTACTTCAATTAAAAGCTTAATTTTTTTTTTTTTTTGCATGTTTCTGGGGAAGTGTCTCTTCTAAATACGTAAACTACTTATTTTGGCTACATATTTACAATTTGCTATATTTCATGTAAAGTAATGTCAACTGTCAAAGACATATACTGTTGAAACTGGTTTCCAGAAATGGTTATTTGGCCTGGCCTGAGTCTTTCACATCTTTTTACCTGGTCTCTCTGAGGTAAACATCAGCTTTTGTAAGGCAGCTAAGTATAGGAATTTTCAATACTATGGATTTATATTTCCTCATAAAGCCATCTCACTACTATGGAAATTGACCCCATAAACTTGGCTTCTTCATTAGCACCCTACCTCAACCAGCTAAGGTGACTGTTCCCAGAAAAGAAATATTATACCGCATTTTCTTTAGGATGATCTAAGAATTTGAATCTAACATTTAAACCTGATGCTATATCTTGAATAAAGCAGTTCATCAAGCATGTTCCTTTTTTCCTATGTATGATTCAAAATTACGTTTTTACTTTTCTTCCAGGGTCCAATCCTTATAACTGAGCTCATTTCCAGATTTGTGTCATATTTGAATTAATTGGCTTTGTAAACCTAACATAAACACAACCCAGCACATTAAATATACTCTTAAAGAGCCTCCCCACCCCACCCCCGCACCATTTGCTAAATTTAAAAATATAACAGGTTTCTACATCTGCTTCCCAAAAACCTTGATACCTTGATACTGCTGACAAGATACTGCAGTACGCCTTGAGGGGTCTGCTAATCATATCCAGGTCTTTGCCTTAGGAGCATGAGATGAATGTTGGCCTGGTCCGTAATTGGACTCTTATGAGCATCTGGCAGCTTCTGTGACATATTAGTGGCCTTGGCCCGGTTTCTAATTGGCATGTGTCAGCATCAAATTGGCATGTATCTGCATCCACGAGCTAGCTTAACTTTCTAAATAAGAGAGGTCATAACATCTTTTTTTCTTTAGCTATGATGCAATTGCTCTTTGCAGGTTTTTTGTTTTAACTGAGAAGAAGCTAAAATTTCAAGATTCCATGTTGCTTTAATCTTGAGCCTTTTGAATCTACTTCTCTAGTAACTGAAACAGTCTAGAAACTGCTGGTCCTGGCCCCATGTCTTAAAGAAATTATGTAGCATTATTTTTCTCTCTCTGGCTTCAGGCCATAGGCATGCTTAATCTGCAGACAGTCTGCAAACTTTAATAGAAAGCGTCATCTGTAATCATTTTAAACAGAGCCGGTGGAGACAAGATTGCTTTAGTTAGTAGCTTACCAGCTTAAACTGAGCACTCTCTAGTTGGAATGGAAACGTAATCAAGGAAAGACTAAATTTTCACTTATATTTTATATCATACTTGGCATCTTGTTTGACAATGTTGCATAAAAAGATCCAGCGCAGGAAACATTTTATATTCCTGCTTATGATTAATAAATATGGAATCCGTGGCATTCTATTTTATAAATCAAGGTCTTAGTCCAAATTTCCTGTTTTTCTACATTTAAAAAAAGGACTCAGGGTAAAAATAGCACTAAACTGTATAGGGTACTCAGGGATCAAGGCAATAGGCAAAATCGATTACTCAGGGTGCCACAGTGCTGAGACTTTTCTTAGACCATCAGTAGAAACATTCATTTTTGTAGTCACTATAGATAGAGCATTTGGTGCAGCTGGTTTTATAAAAATCTAAGTAAATATATCCTACTTCATATTTTCTATGCTTATTGAGGAAAGGAAAGAAATTGATAATAAAATAATAAACCAGGGACTTGGAAATACAGGCTTACCCATTGCTAGTTCACAGAAAACACCAAAGACTTTCTTATTACATTCAAATTTTAATCGCATCTATTTCTTCCTGTATTTTACAAACCTGGCTACTGTCTTCAGTCTATAAGACCCTGCACCACCACCGCAAACACACATTCATACATTTTTGCATTCATACATTTTGACCTTTGTTCAAAGATTTTCCAGTCTGCATAATAGCCTACAGTGGGTGTTCCCCCATCTCTCTGACTATAGAATATTACAAAGATATTCTGAAGACTACACAAATGGTAGTAGGTACTTTGGAATTCATACCGTTAGTTGACACCTCATCATGCTAAGAGGAAAGTTTTCTTATTTGTATTTTTTTATAGCCTAAAGAATGTTTCTTGACACAATCAAAGGAAACAAAAGAAGATGTCATCAAGACCAGGAAGAGGAGAAAGGTAATATTAATAATTTTACAATGGTGTGGCCTTACATATTTTCATTACATTCATTACTTTGCTGAGACAATTATTTAGAGGTGCAGAAATTGTAAGATTCAGTTAGGTTTGGTGACTTTCCTGAGGTCACTTGTAATAAGTGTTTCTGTTGGAGCTAAAAATAAATCCTTCAGATTCCTATTTCAGTTTTGTAGAGCGCTAAACATCTTTCTTATCCACCCTGTGTTTTCAGTGTGGTTTGAAGTCAGAAATGAGTTTCTAATTCTAGAAGGGGCCCAGACCTATCCTGCCTTCTGGCCCCTCTGGCTCTGTCCAAGGAAAGAAATTTGCCAACCTTCTTTTCTTACCCTTTTCAATTTTTAAAACCTTTTATCTTAGAGTATTAACAAAAAGTAAATAATAAGCAGATGAAGGTAACATAAGCCATTTCTGACTCTCATTTGGAACTCTAATCTAAAGCAAAAGGCTCCCCTTGCGTTTTAATACTTGCCTTTGAGCATATGGAAGACTCTTTTGCTCCTATACAAACTTCCTTATGGCTCAGACTTGGAGAAAGTGTGGTTAGCTTTGACCTTCCACCACAGTTGTGAAAACAGCAGTGTAATTCTCTCCCTGCCAACAGGGTTCTACCACTGAAGTCAGCAGAGGAAATATGATTGGGATTAGAGGAAAGAAGATGGACTCAAACCAATTACTTAACAGCAAGCTTTTAGAAAACTCAGAGTGTGTGTACATATGTTTTCTTTGCTTGCAAATGGCCAAAAAGGAAGATGGGAGATGCCAAATTGGCTGAGGTTTGGCAAGTCCTTAAAGAAGTAACTTTAACTTCTCTTTGATAGCTTGTACAGCAATGGCCTTTAGGAGTGTTAAGTTCTTGGTGGCTCAAGGTCAGAACTCTAGCTAGATAGCTTAGCCTTGGCTGAGGTCATGCTAAAATGTGCCCACTAATGACATATTTTTAAAAGTTAATTCATTTGACAGAACTTTGTCCATTCTTGGCAGTGGCATAGAAATGAGGATATTGTGGAAAGAGGAAAAAAAAGCTGGCGGGGGTGGGGGGTGGTTCTTTCTGGATCTTTGGTGAAACATGAGAAGAGAAGTTTATGATGAAAATTAAATGAACGCTTGTGTGTTCCTAGTACACTGCAGGCATTCAGTAAATGCTATTCAAATAAGTCCAAATCAAAATAGATGTTGTAAAGTATTTCTTATTCTGTTTCCGTAGGACCACTTCAAGACTCTATCTCTCGAGACTTCAGAACTAAGGGTCTAAAAGTCTGCCTTTTCAGTGGGTCCTATGCTCAGATTACTCCTGTAGCTTTTACTTTAATCCCAGAAATCCAAACTGAGACTCAGTACTCTCAACACTAGGTTAGGCAAGAAGTTCTCAAAATTCTCCTCTCCCAGAAATACAAATCATCTAAAGCTTAAAGAGGAGTTCCACAGCAACAAGATTTCTTGACTTTCAGGAGAAAATAATACCCTACCTATTATGGAGACTCCTTGCAAAAATGTTAGTTCTCCTTGAAGTCCAAGACTGAGAGTTACAAGGAGTCTTTTAGATCATCCATTCATTTTTCAAAGTAGTACTATCCAAGAAATATCTATTAAGTTTTCTCAAGTGTATTTATTAGAATTCACATTCATAGTTTGCTGTCACCGAAACCTATGTGCAGTTTAAATGCCAGAGGAATCAACCTATCCTAAACCAAATGCCATTCTAAAATCTTTCCTCCCATTTTCCTTTCTTCTCATATCTTAGAAGAAAATTACTGACATTCTTGCAAAATCAGAGCCAAAACCAGGAACACCTGAAGACCTCCAGAAGCTGATGAAGGGCTATTACAGCAGCAACCGCTCAGTGATTGAATTAGAAGAACTTAACCTACCAGGTACAGCCAGGCTTCTTTCTTTATTGTTTGTTTGTTTGTTTGTTTGTTTGTTTTTGCTCAGGTAACATGGTGTGTTATATTGTACTTCAAAGTATAAAAGAAGATTTAAAACTAACCATTAAGAATTTATCTTCTTTACTGTATGTTATGGCTAGGTATCTCAGCCAGACATTAATGTTTTGCTCATGCTAATACTTTTTCCTTCAACCTCATAATTTCAACTCTTGCATGATTTCTTTATTAGGATGCTAAATGGTATTTGTTCAGTCTAACAAAAAGATTTGTAATTGTATCTTTTATTCAAAAGGCTGTTTAGTATGCATATTTTTAGCAGATTCTTCAAGAAGTAAGAATCCCTAATGAGGATAGAAGTCACATAAAAGTAAGGTGAAACATACACTTAAAAGTACAGATATGAAACACTAATTTATTTATTCTTTATAGACAAGAATATTAGCTTTAATAAGCAGCTTGGTTTTGTTGTTCTTAACATGATTTCTGATTATGGTTTTGTTATTAGGGTAGTATTTTGGGTCCTAGTTTAGACTTTTTCAAGCAAATTTTCTAAAGAGAGGGATAAAATTCTGCATTTTTAGCAAGGCCAATACCTTGCCCAGGTGATTCTTTAGCCTAGTATTCTTTTAAATCTACAGTCTTAAAGTATTTATAATTAAGTTAAAAGATATTACAGAATTCCTAAAACAACTTATTTTAATTAATTTCAAAATCATGATACATCCTGCAGCTTTTGGGAAGATATTGAAGAAAAGAGATATAATAAAATCAAACCACAGTTTAGGTACCACTGCCTGAGATGAGGTGTTTACACACTGAGATATATCTAGTACTGCTTTAAAAGTCGCGGGTAGTTTGATTTCCTTTTTCCATTACAATTTTGTGCTTTCTAGAGGCTTGCAAAGCTGAAAAACAGCCCGTTCCTTGAATTTTTATAATTCCTTTGTGATATGATT